TTGAATTCACAATAATTTGGATAATTATTATCCAAAATGTTATGAAGTAAAATGGTTATATATAAATTATTTGTAAGCTATACTTCATTTCAAACCAATAATCATATTAGATGAAACTAATAAATATATTTTATTATGCATGGTGAAAGAAATATACCATTTTATGAACTATTTATAAGTAAATTGTAATGCATATAGTTTAATGTTAACATAACATAAATATTTATTATTTATCAATAGTCGAAAGCCAAAAAAAAAATTGTATTTAGTATGATATTTGTTTTAACTATCAACAATAATCAATTAAACATATAAAATATTTGTATCCTTTAAAGTTAAACTTTTTTATAAAAATTGTAATGTATTATTAACTATGACAATAAGAAATTTATGTATTTAAATTTTATTTAAAAACAAAAAAAAACCTTTTTAAGTTTGATGAATGAATAATGTTTTAATCAAAACATTAGTTTTAGTAACATTACATGAAATATTTATAAAGTATAAATACATTGTTATGTTTAATAAACATAATAATTGTATAAATATATATACTTTATACTTATATAATTTATATTTAACAGTTTAATCTAGAAAATGTAACTTCAAAGAAAGTACCTATGTATGYATTTCAAAATATAATAAATTACAAATAATACAATTAAAAAGAAAGTTAATTTTACAGAAAAATAAGAATAATAAATTACACAAAGAAAATGCTAATAATCACAGATATTAATGGATGGAATTTATTATTTTCCAAAATCAGTTTATAACAATCATGCAAGCAGTAAATACTATTTAAAAAAATGAATACATACAAGTTTAATAAGAATAAAATTAAAAAATATATTATAAAATACCATCAAAGTTAATTTATAACTTGAAATAAACTACAAAAGATCAGTTCAAAAATAAAAAATTGCACTCAAATTTAAAATGGTTTCATCATATTCAATCACATTTAAAAATAAATATGAATGTTTCCTAACTATTTGATTGTACATAAACACAAGTTGTCTAGTAAAAATACCATTAAAACTGATCAAAATAAATTATGTCTGTACACTCATATTTAATTTGTTAATTATATCATACTCAGATGAATAAATATTCTAATTGCGATTTGATAAAAATACATCTGAATATAGAATAGTCATTATTTAGAAATCATTYGATATAAATATTAATAACTAAAATGAGGATGGGCTTCTTTAACCAATGATAACACACTTCAGCTAAAAATACACCCCATATTTAATTGTTTATATTTTAAATAGGTAGTGAACATAAATCTAAAAGTTTAAAAATGTTAAAACTTCATTGAAATAGTTAAATTCTTATATTTATATATTAGTATTTCATTYAATAATTTCATTTTTTTTTWAATTTTGTTAAATTTTAATCTATAATATAGGAACATAAAAAAGTACAATAAGTATACAATGTTTTTTTTCTAAATTATATTATAAAGTATTGGCTAAAGTGACTTGAGAAAAGAACCAAACCAGTGAGGGCACTTCAGCATGAATTTTAGTTAACAGTAATTAAAAAAAACAATAAGACTTTGACTTTGCCCACCCACTTTTCAGGTTTATATTGCTGTGAAAAATCCTATCTTGTTTCATTTTTTTAGTGGTTACTGAAATATTTACATTTAGTAAAAGTCCTCATGTTTAAAATATACACAAATATGCGAAAGAAGAATGTCTTGATTTAATTTCTGCAAGAATATTTAGCTACATTTATATATTGGAATGTAAAACGATTTTTAGTGAACATTATCTTTGTTGTCATAACTCACTGAAAAAATTATTTTCTAATCAGCCCCCATTAGAATTTTAACATGATTTTAAATCATCTTTAGTTTTTTGTCATCATAAAACTGAATTGTCATCACTTTTTATATGAACTTTTATTTCAATTGTGCTCGTTTACATTATTTTTATATTTTTTTACTAGATTTGCTGGTGGTGTTGGCGATTCCATAAACAGTATTCAGATATGTTTTGATGTCACTTTTTAACCATTATCATAATAGTTAAAAATCCAAACTAACATGGCCCCTTCTAGTCATATTATTGTACTGAATAAATTAGATTTCTCTCCAACTTATTTTTCATACATTTGTAATTAAAGTCTATGTAACTTTGTTACTTTATATAGTTAAGTGTTTGGTAGCCCAACTAACACTACTACATTTTTAAAATTCATTTGGTGTCTACGTGTGTTGTCAAGGGTTAAATACTTGCAAATTACATTAAATAATAATTTTTTTAAACAGTTTTTCTAACACTATTCTTATGACTTTAAACAGAATATGAAACATGAACAAAAATTAATTTAAATTAATATTTCATATACTTTACTTAACCAGCAGATCAAAAATTTAATAAAAATATAACACTCGTTCTTGTGCAGGAACACTAAGCAGTCTCCAACCACGTTTGATATTCATATATTGTATCACAGCACGAATACAAATTAAAAATCCAAATGCCATAACTAACCACCAAAGCCATGTATTTGAACGACTTTCTGGTGATAAATCAGACATTTCAGTATTTCGTTTAACTATCATCGTCCATTTTGCTAATGATAAACCAAATCCAGCAAGTGCTCCGTAACGAGCTGCTACAGTTTGGCATAAACACATTAATACCAAAAATCCAACCCAATTGAATAGCAATGCCACTATAAAAGATAATAATAATWWTTATATAATTTATAAATAATTATATATATAAAAAAATTACCCAAAAAAGCAGTCAAAAACATGTAGTCTGTACCTAACAAATTAGTGTCAATTTCACACGGATTAGGTGCAGCATCAATTGTGAGAACAGTTAATGTTTGTGCAGGTATCTGAAAAATAAATAAAATATTAATATARAATATTTAATAATACAATAATGAACTGTACAGAYTCTAACCCAGTTAGTAAATTTAGAGAGCAGTTCAAAAAATGTAACAATGAAAGCATGCTTYGCTAGCAATAATTCTTTTGCAAATTAATAATCACTCAATAACTTGAATTATTTAAAGAAAAYATTTTAACATCAGCCTTAGAATGTAGAAACAACTATTCAGWATGTTCATTCCTGTATATAATGATTATACCCTACTTTTTGAAGTTTGGGTCTTCATAACTTTAATTTATAATATCATTTTGTAGTTATTGCACGATTGGAAGCCTATTTTGATGAGTTTTTGAACTGAAGTTTTGGGRCTCAAAAATGAATAAAATGTATTTATTTTATTATTAGACAGTAAACATAATATTTGATAATTACATGTCATATACCGGCATCAAAATCAAGTGGGAATTTACCTAAATGCCCTATGTTGCACTGATACAATCATAATTGATTCAAATTATGATTTTTAAGTTACTTAAACAAAATTCTATAAGGAATTTAATTTAAAATTTGTTTGGAAATATTTATAAATTATTTTAGTCACATAAACACTGAATAAACATAGTACTAAATAGTAACATAGAAATAAAGATAATAATGATACAACTAATCATGGCTTTATGTTTTTTATTTAATAGTAATTATTGAATTTTAGAATTAATTTAAAATAAAAATGTAATGAACATTTTTTTATTTTTTTAAATGACAATAGAATAAATTGCATATTTATATATTTATTATTTATTTATATTTATAAATATTTATAAATATATATATATATATATTTATATATATATATATATATTTACACAATTAGTATTCATTCACATTTTTTATGCCAAAATTTTAAAATTTATCAGTAATTATGTAGTCCAAACAGAAAAATAATATTGACAGTATAAAAATAAAAACATTCTATTGTCATCGAAATATCAACAAGATAAAAGTTATCTAAAGTTATCTTGACAACAGAAAACATTTAAACAATAATATCAATATCATGTGCAGTGTCTATGATACTAAAATATTCACTAGGTGTTTATTTATTTATTTAATTAAATATAATATGCTTTAGAGCTACAAGACATTAACRTTGATTATAAATACTAGCATTAATAGGGTATTTCTTAAATTATTGTATGCAATTAAAAAAATGTATCTATGCCTAACCTAACCATATGAGTAGTTTCTGATGAAAAACAATAAATTGCAATAAATCTAAATGTATAATAATTACTTCTTGTGGTAATGGTCCAATGCTAGGAGGTCCTCCAATMACTCTTCCCTGAAAAATTGTTACTGTGTTATTATAGTAACATTAATAATTGTATTTTTTTAATCAAAATAAATAATGAAACTAACAGGTAATCTTGGAGATGTTTCTCCTTCTAATCGCTTTTCCATTTGCACTTCTTCATAAGTTGGTAGTTTTACAAAATCTGGGTTGCAGTCTTCATATGGGGGAGGAGCAGAAAAGTCCAATCTAGGAGGCTGCACGTCATAATGCTAACAAGTAATAATAATCAATTAGATATTTTAATATTTTATACACCTAATACTATAACATTTAATTAGATAGGTACCTGTGGTGATGTCGGTGAATGAACTAGATTTTGCTGAGTAGTATTAACATTTCCATTTTCTGATTCTCCYGTTTGAGTATTATTTGCAATATTTGTATATACAGGAGGAGGAATATCCTATATAAATCACATATAATATTTAATATATATAATAAATTCTCAAGTACAATTATGAGTTTTATAGGTGCATTAAGAGGTATTATACTTAAACATTTTATTTGGTTAAAAATGCGATTTGCTTAATCATCAACATAATAAAATAATCAAGAGTTATGATTTGTACTTAAATAATTTCATAATAATATGACTAAAATATT